GGGGGTGGGTTAATTTTATTTATTTATTTATATCTTTTTATATATTTATATACATAAATAAATATTTATATTTATGTGTATATATAGGTTAAAAAATCTGATTTTTGAAATGTAAAAGTTGTTTTGTTATTTTTAAAATAGGGTAAAGATAAAGTAGGAGAAATGAATTTTTCCCTTAAGTTTTCCCTTTTGTTCTTTGAACCTACCCAATTAGACTCACCTGGGCCGATTCAGGCCCACTTTGGTAGAAACAGAAACATGGGCCTAGTCGACGAGTCGGCTACTTTCCCCTCCCCACATGTCGATATTCCATCTCTTTCAATTATTTTTCTCGATTTTTAATCGACGAGAAGAAAATCCAGATCCCATAAATTGAAGCAGGCAAGGAGCAGAAGAATGGGTTATGTGCTGAGAGTGAGACTTGCATCTTTCTTCGCCGGAGCCGCCGTGGCATCGGCTGCGGGTATTTATTTTCTTCACAAGGATTATAAGTTTGCACACCACGCCATTTCTCATCAGGTACCATATGCCCTTTTATGTTTTAATAATTTTTTCAAGTTTTACATTTTCATGCTGAGATATATTCTATGTGTTTTGGGTAATTAATTTTCAAAAATAGAATGCAAGTTGAAACCGAATTCTAATCCCTGTTTAGCCTTGAGGGTTCTAAATTGGGGCTTTATATGGCGTGTGATGATGAAGTTGATGAATTTTGCTTTATTAGAAATGGTGAGAATGAACTAGTGAAATGTTAATTAAACATCGTGGCTCCTTATTGGCCTTTTTTCAGTTTTTGATTTTCCTTCAAGGAACATTGAAATGGAGATGCAGGTTTTAACTGAAGCCTCTTGCGAGTTAGATAGGTATTATAGCACTTGAGGGAGTTCAATGTAATTTTTCCATTGAATAGGCTCCATTTAATTTTGATTAGATGTTCTGCTGTTCAATTCCTTTCCTATGGTTTTAACTTATAATACTGTGATGGAATATTTTGATTAATTTAATGAGGCATGACAATTGAAATTCTTTATCATTGGCTAAAGAACAGTTAAGATTATGTGATGAGTGGTGAAGAGGTATCAGTTCATGTTGTTGATAGGCAATGAGTGTGAACTACAAAATTATTAAGTACTCTATTTAGCTATCTAAAGTACATTGAGAAACCATGAGAATTTTCAGCATTGCTTCTTTTGTAGAAGAAGCCACTGCCCGATATCCGGAATGATTATTTTTAAGCTAAACCATAAATTGTACAACACTTCAAAATTTGCTACACCTTACTTGACTTGCATCACATTTTGGCTAGGGTTCAATATGTTTTTCGAATAGATCTGATCATTGGTAAAAAGTAGATTGAGAAATTGTGAGGATGTTCGGCTTTGTTTCTTTTGTAGAAGAAGCCATTGCCTGAGAAAGCCCAAAAAGATGCCAATTTTGGCTTCTTTTTTCACTTTTAAGCTAAGCCAAACATGCTGTATATAGCACTATAAAATTTGCTACAGCTCGCGTGAATTGCATCACACTTTGGAAAAGATTCAATATTTTTTCCCAATAGGTCTGATCATTGGTGACGCTAGGCATTTGTTCTTGATGGGGTCAGGATGATTAGGCTTCCCATCTATGTAATGTTATCGTGTTACAATCATACGTTATATTGTTTTATTCGTCTTACTATTAATTCAGAACTACTAGTTTTTTTCCTGACTTGGTGGATGTTAAGACATTGTTGACCTTTACACTTATCAAATTTGTAATAAAAATTATGAATCTTCTGCCACCTTCAAAAATAAGTATATTAAATTTTGGGTGAGAGAGAGAGTGAGAAAGAACAAATTGGATACTTACATAGCAAACAAATTTGACATTGTGAATCCGTTGGTTAGATAATCTCCAATTTCTCAATGTAATTATATGGAAGGTGCACAATTATTAGATATTGTGACCATCTGTTTAATGACCAAGACTGTAGCTTGCTTCTGAATTTGAAGCTGTCATTTGCACTGAAAACATTAGTTTTATAGGAGTTTGTGATAAAATCATTTGATTTGTGTGTGAAGGTTATGTATTGAATGACGATGTCTATTAGATTGATCAAGTGACACATTGAATGGTGAAAATGCTGATTCAATCACATTTTTTGCCGAAGTAGAATAAACTGAAGAATCTAAAGAATATGATGAAATCTTGGGAAATAAACTTTAAAGTAATTGCCAGTTCTGATATCTTGCTTTTGGTGGATATGTTACATCGAATAATCCATGTTGCTGCCTTTTTTGGTCTAGATGAATAGTCTTTATGAATCTTTAGATGGACGTTTATCAGCTATGGAGAAGTTGAAAGAAGTTGAAGCAACAAAGCACGCGGAAGCTACAGAATAAAAGCTCTTGACGTACTTCTATAAGCAAGCAAGAATAGAAGACTCGTTGAATGCTCGGCCTCTTCAAATAAGACTTAGGTTTAGTTTGTTTGGGAAGTTGTGCACACTAATTTTGACAGCTTCCAGAAGAGACTATATTTCCGATATCACCTGAGACAAGATGAAAGTTTAAGTAATGTATTCTCGACTTATAACTTGTACCGTGTTGCTTCATAATCTACCAGTCTTGATGCTTGATGCTTAGCTTTTATCATTATTAATCTTTGCCACAACGACGTGGAGCGTTATTTGAACATCGATATGCTATAGAGAGAGAGAGAGAGAGAAAAGTTTGATAGAATTTTTACAGAAGAACACTTGGCAATTTTTCATTTGTTTTCACAACAATGGCGGAAAATGCACCATACATGTGTTGCCAATGTAGCACTTGTATGATTTCTGCAGTGAATTATTCATTTGAACAAGAGTCACTTCGTAAATTTTGACATTAAGTATTACCTATTAAACCTAATTATCAAGAGAACTCCACGCTGTATTTCTCTCTTAAACAGGTATTTGACGGAAAAAAAAAAAAGTCAGCTAGGAAAGAAATACAAGTTTTTTCCTCGTACGCTGCATATGGAAAACATATAAATGAAAATGTATAGAATGCCCGGGTTCGCTTATCTCATTGTTTTTCTTCGCAAAAAGGATATACGGAATTCTTAGTGTTCCGTATATTTTGTTTTTATCTAAATATTCTTCATTTTTTTCTCATTTTTTTGTTTTTGGTGAGAGGAACCCCATGGATGTATTAAGGTCGTCGGGTTGACAATAAAAGCCCTTGATTGGTTCAATAAAATCAGATTTTGAATATATTTTGACAGAAGTTGATGGAATGTATGGTTGAAAAATTGTGAAACGACTTTAATTTAAATTTTAATCAACTTTTATAGATGAACCAAATACTGGCTTAATTTATTTTTATTCTTGGTGATGGAATTAATAGATGCACAAGAATTTAGCTCCCTCATCAATTGACAATATTAATTGCAATAATGCAAAAGAGTAATGCTATTTAGTCCCACTGAGATTACAACTTCAGTATAGGTGGCATTAATGTGGCATTAACATTTCACTCAATCTATAATTTAGAGCTACATAGACTGGGATTACAACCCCACTGAAGATGAATAGCATTATTCAATGCAAAAAGTACAAGTAATGCTATTTGATTCCACTAGATTATAACTTCAGTCTACGTAACATTAAATGTAGGTTAAATAAAATACATAAACGCGACATAGACTGAAGTTATTAACCCTTGTAAGGTTAAATAGCATTATTCTAAATGTGCACTTCTTAACACGTAGCATGATTGTATTAATTATATGAGATCGAAAAAGGATGATAGGGTCCCCTTTGTCATTCCAATCCACCCATTATCAATATCTGTAAGAATGGGGAGAATACCGTGTTAAACGTAGCAGATGTATGGTCATAATTCTTTTTATTGAAACAAAAAATCAACAGCAAAATCTCAGCCACCACACGCCTCATGCCTCTTTTCACAGTTAAAAACTCCCACCAACATGCAAAGAAAGGGGGCAAATGCAAATGAATAACCTTTTACCTTCCTCACAGTTGAGTCATCCTGAATCTCTGACATTAAGCCAATAAGCATATTGAATCATGGTGGTTCTTAGCTTCCAACCATTCAATTTCAGCCATTGTTGCTCTCCAAAACTGAGGGGTAATAGCAGAAGCATTACCATTCGGTGTGGAATTGCAGAGCCATCGGGGGTACCTGCTCCACTGGGACAGAAGACAAAGTACACCGATGGCCTTTTTGAGAAGGCTTTCATGACTCTGTTTGCTCGCAAGATGGAGAAATTTGCAGCCAGTAATAGTAAGTCAAATTCGAACACCGCCAAAGGTTTGTTTGATTATGATTACGAGAGTTTTGTGGATGTATCGAAAAGGGTAATGCAGGGAAGGTCTCGTTTGCAGCAGCAGCTGGTGGTGAGAGAGGTGCTCTTGTCCATGCTTCCTCCTGGTGCCCCTGCTCAAGTAATTTATTCATTCACTTGTTATCCTTTGTCCAATTTGTGACCAGGTTTAAGTAAAAGCTATGATCAAATATCATTGAAACGTAGCTCAAAGAATGTTTTTTCCCCCTCTTTTGCAGTTTAGGAAATTGTTTCCGCCAACAAAATGGGCTGCTGAATTCAATGCCGCGCTGACAGTGCCTTTCTTTCACTGGTTAGTCGGGCCTTCTGAGGTACAATACAACCATTCTTTATTTCTTCATCAAAAGTTCTACTACTTGTCCATTGTTCAGATAGGTCTAAATCATTCAAAAAGGGAATTAGAATGAAATGACTCGAATTTGAGTCGGTTTTTCTGAATTCTTGTCTGTTACTCAGGTTTTATGCCTGCACTTATATAAACCTTTATTTTGGCAATGTAAAGAATCAGTTATAGCTATCACGGGTGAAATCCAATTGTAAAACTAAAAGTTGATCACATTTCGAAGATAAAATTATGCAGCGTAAAATGCATAATGATATTTATTGCTCAAATTATGAATCTTGATATTCATACAGCATTTTCCGTCCTAGACATTCTGAATTTCGTGCATCCATTAGGTTGTGGAAGTGGAGGTTAATGGAGTAAAGCAAAAAAGTGGAGTTCTTATAAAGAAATGCAGGTAAAATTGGTGGTACTTTTTGTTTTTTACGGTATTGTAGAGTATAGTTTTGCTGCTTGCAGCAATGTCTAAATTCTAAATGATGTTCAAACTCTGTCATTTGATCTTTAGATACTTGGAGAACAGTGGTTGTGTTGGAATGTGCATTAACATGTGCAAAATACCTACACAAGATTTTTTCACCAATGACTTTGGCCTTCCATTAACTATGACCCCGAGTATGTTACCTCATCATCTCAACTGCGATTCAAAGCTCTACGTTGCATGAATACTTATTATTGCGTTTTAGCAGATTTTGAAGATATGAGTTGCGAAATGGTTTATGGCCAAGTTCCTCCACCATTTGAAGAGGATCCGGCATCCAAACAACCTTGTTATGCAGATATTTGTATGTATTTTGAACTTGTAGTTTTAACTAGTTAATGATCGCTGGTCTTAGTCTTAACTATCAGATGATTTGCATTCAGGCTCCATAGCAAATCCTAGCTCCAGTGTCTGTCCTAAACTACAAGCTTGAGTTCTCTACATGAACCTGCTCGGTGAGGTTAAAGATGGCCAGAACTGGACAGTCGAACCCTTTGTTCGTTCAAGTCCCTAAGAATAGAAACTAGAAACCATGCAAGTAATATCTGAGGGAACCATTCCCATAGAGTATTCATTTGAAATTTGATATCTAGATGATCATTTACTGTATATTCTGGTATTAAAAGCTGTAATTGTAAAAGCAGATTGTTATACAGGACAAATAATTATGCTTGATGTGGAATTTTATGTATTTTTATTGTGTGATGGAGATGTTCTTGCTGATTCAATATTATGAATTGGTAAAGTGAAAATAAATTTATAGGTACGAATGAGAATGAGAATGAGAATTGGCAAAAAGAAAGAGTACGAAGAAAGCCTTGGAAGGTGAAAAGTTTGAGAGTGGAAAAGCAATAGAAAAGTTTTATCATTGCCAAAATACTATATCATCCTTTGGTCCTAACATTTTTAAATACAAAATTTTAAATGTGGAGACAAAATCGTATAATTAAAATTTATTTAATTTGTGGGGAGAATTGGTTAAATAGCCTAGTCAAAAAAATGTATTTGGTTAAATAACCTTTGCTCAATATTTTTTGATCAAATTGCCTCCAATTATAAAATACAATAAATAAACAATGTCAAATGTCATAAATACCCCTACCATGGGAAAAGACCCTACACCTTTATCAATCCAATTAATTCCCCAATTCAATTTTAGGTCCCCAAATTACAATTACCTGTTTTTTCTCTTCAACTACAGTGATTACTATTCTAAAATTCTGTTATTTATTATATTCTTAACCTATTTTGAATATAACAAGAGTTTGATGAGCATATTATTTACATTAAAAATTCTTATTTTCAGTTGAAGAATAAAGATTATTTTAGAAATTTCATGTATATTGTATTTTTATTATTGAATACAGTATTAAATAATATTTAGTTGGCGTTGTTTTCGTATTTAGTGTGTTTTTTGTGTTGTCTGAATCTATTGAATGATAATGACATTCCAGTTATTATTTGACATATAGAATGTTGCTCCAACCTTTATCTGTTACGCAAAATGAGACTGCTGTCGTTATCTACTGTAATTTTTTTTTCAATGAAATGATTTCTAATAATAGACTCCCTAACGTATATAATACAGAAAGATTGACAATGTCACAAATAACAAATGAAATGATATAGCTTTTATATTATCAAAATTGTGAAAGCACAAGCCATCATACTCATATTTGCCGATTAAGTTAATGAACATGTCTCTGAACTTTTATAATGTCGTGTTCATATTACAACGTAAGTTCCACTTATTATTTCTCAGTGCATGAATAGGTCGTTACTGCTTATACTCGTGTTTACGCACATAACAACACAAGTGTCATTTTTATGTCCAGTAAGGACACTTATGTCATTCTGAAGTTTTTACCGATATTTTTATTTTTCTCAATGAACCAACCTCTAATAATAGATTTCCTAACATATGTGACATAGAAAGGTTGACCATGTCATAAAGAATGGTTGAAATGACATAGCTTTTATGCTATCAAGATGGTGAAAGCACAATTCATCATTTTTACATATGTTGATTAAGTTATTGAGCATATCTTTCAATTTTTGCACATGTTATATGCATATTACAATATAAATAAGTTTCACTTATTATTTCTCTAAGCACTGATGTGACATGGATGCTTATACCCGCATTTACACATAGCGATATAAGCGTTGTTTCATGTTCGTAAGACACTTGTGTAATTCTATTCTATATTTTGAATTTTTTTTTTCAACTCAAAGACATCCAACAATGGACCCCCTAACATATGTAAGATATAAAGGTTGATCATGTGACAAAGAACGTTCTAAATGACATAGATTATATATTATCGAATTTGTGAAAGCACAAGTCATCATACTGATTCACTTGATTAAGTAATGAGTATAACTCTCTACTTTTATTCCTATCATGTCTATCTTACAATGTAAATGAGTTTACTGATTGATTCTTGAGGTATGGATAAGACATTGATGCTTATACTCATGTTTACACGCATAACGACATGAGCCGTTTTCATCTCAGTAACAACAATTGTGCCGTTTTGTTGATTTTTCCTATATTTTGATTTTTTTTCAATGCAACGACATCCAACAATGGATTCTCTAATGTATGTGTAAGACATAAATGTTGACTGTGTAACAAAGAATGATTCAGATGACATAAATTATATGTTATAGAATTGGTTAAAGCACAAGTCATCATACTGATTCATATCAATTAAGTAATGAGCATATCTCTCTACTTTTGTACATATTATGTCCATCTTAAAACAAAAATGAGTTTCACTTATTGGTTCTCGGGGCAGGGATAAGTCATAGTTGATTATACTCATATTTATAGATAGAACTACACGAGGGACATTTTCATTTCAATAAGAGCTCTTGTGTCTTTCTGTTTATTTCTCCTATATTTTACTTCTTTTCCAATGCAAGGACATCAAGCATTGGACCTCTAACGTGTGTAAGACATGAATGTTGATCATATGACAAAGAAAAATTGAAACAACGTAGATTAGATGATATAGAGTTGATGTAAGCACAAGTCGTTCTATTGTTTTCATTAGAATATAATTAATAAGCATACTTCTCAACTTTTGCAAATGTCATATCCACCTTACCACTTAAATGAGTTCGACTTATTATCTTTCGAGGTACGGATGGGGCATGGCTGCTTATAATCGTGTTTACAAACAAAACAATATAAAGGTCGTTTTTTCTAAATAACGTCACTTGTGTCATTCTGTTGAATTCTTCTATATTTTGATTTGTTTTCAACACAACGATCTCAAATAATGGACCCTCTACTGTATGTAAGACTTAAAGGCTGACCATGTGGATAAATAACGGTTGAAATAACATAGATTATATGTTATCAAGTTGGGAAAAGCACAATTCATCCTACTGTTTCATATCGATTAAGTAATGAGCATATCTCTCAAAATTTGTACATATCATGTCCATCTTACAATATAAATTAGCTCAACTTATTGGTTCTCGGAGCATGGATAATACATGGCTGCTTATATTCGTATTTACAAACGTAACGACACATGGGTCATTTTCATCTCAATAAAGGCACTTGATTCATTCTATTGTTTTCTCTTATACCCTAATGGATGGGTTGTGGATATTTGTACTCGTGTTTATAAACAAAACGATACAAAACCTGTTTCATTTCAGTAACAGCTTTTGTGCCGTTTATGTTGATTTCTCCTATATTTTTCTTCTTTTTCTACGCAACGACCTTAAGCATTGAACCCCCTAATTTAAGAAAGTCAAAAGGGTTAATCATGTGAACAAAATATTGAATTGATAAAGATTATATGATGTCAATTTAGTGAAATCACAAGTCATTATATTGATTCGTTAGAAAATATAATTAATGAGCATATCTCTAACCTTTTTTAAACGAAAACTTAAATGAGTTCAACTTTTTGGTTTCTCGGGGCACAGACGAGTCGTTGATACTTATAGTTGTGTTTATAGATGATACGATACAAATGCCATTTTCATTTCAGTAATGGCTCTTGTGTTGTTTTGTTGATTTTTTTAATATTTTACTTCTCTTCCAATGTGAAAATAGGTTAAACATATAACAAATAACGGTTAAATGGACATAGATTATACGATATCGAGTTGGTGAAATCACGTGTTATTGTATTAATTCGTTAGAAAATAAAATTAATGACGCATCTCTCAACTTTTGTAAATGTCATGTCAATCTCACAGTTTAAATGAGTTCAAATATTGGTTCTCAAAGCACGGACGGGTCAGGCTGCTTAATATTCATGTTCACTAACAGAACGACACAAGTGTCATTTTATTATCGATTAAGCTAATGGGGATATCTCTCAATTTTTGTATAATTCTCATGCATCTTACAACATGAATAAGTTCAAGTTGTTACTCTCAAGGCATGGATGTTTATAAATTTAGTAATGCCACTTTGTTTCATTCTCATGAATGCTTGTAACAAACATATTGACACTTGCATCATTCTCATTTTCCTCTTATGAGTTCAATAATAGCACCTACGTTGTTTTATGGACGCTTATATTTCCAACAACGTCACATGTGTTGTTATCATTGGACAACAACAAACTGAAAAAAAAATGTACAACTAAAACGCAAACATTTTACTTAAATGACGTCAACATAAATGTAGGAAAAAATCAACATAACGACACTTGTTGGATGTCGTTGCATTAAAAAAAAAAAGTCAAAATGTACTAAAAATCAATAGTTTGACACAAGTGCTGTTACTAAGATGAAAACAACCATTGTGTCACTAAGTGTGTAAACACGAGTATAAGTAGCCATGTCTTATCTGTGCCCTGAGAACCAATAAGTGAAACTCATTGGCATGGTCAAACTTTTTTGTGTTACATACATTATAGAATCCATTATTAGAGGTCGTTTTGCTAAAAAAATCAAATATAGATGAAATTTTCGGAACGACACAAGTATTGTTACTAGACTTGAAAAAGACACGTGTTGTTACATGTATAAACACGAGTAAGCAGTCACGACTCATTCTTGCCTTGAGAAATAATAATTCAAACTTATTTATACTGTAATATACACATAACATGTATAAATGTTAAAAGATATGCTTATTAACTTAATCGACACATATGAGTAGGACGACTTGTGCTTTCACCATCTCAATAATATAAAAGTCATGTCATTTCAATCTTTCTTTATGACTAGTCAATCTTTCTATGTTATATATATTAGTGAGTCCATTATTAGAGGTTATTTCGTAGAAATATTCAAACTACAACAGATAACGACTGTAGTGTCGATTTACGCAGCACATGACGACTAGAGTGGTGTTCTATATTTCAGATAGCTGTCAGAGTGCTATTATTATCCAATAGTTGCAGACAACTCAAAAAATGCACTAAATACGAAATAACACCAACTAAATATTACTTA